TTTCCTTTCTTTCTTTTCTTTCCCTCTTTCTTTCTCTCATTTTTTCTTTCTCTTTCTTTCTCTCTCTTTCTTCCTTCTTCTCTTCCTTCCTTTCTCTTCCTTCTTCTCTTTCCTTCTTTCCTTCTTTTCTTCTTTTTTTCTCTCTTTCTTTCTTTGTCTCACAGCATTAGTTTTAAGAACCACAGGGAAACAAGTTTCCAATCATACTGAATATATTTTCATATATCCCTTTTAATGACATAATGCAACTCTGTTGCCCAGGGATTTAAAACAGAAACATCTTCATTTAGTGAGTGAGGTAATATTGGAGAGTAATGGCCTCACTGGAGGCACCTGGAGGAAGCATTTCTTATTCATGCACTGTGCAGAAAGACAATGGATTAAGTTCAGTTTTTCTTAATGATAGTCACAAAAAGAGTAAGAAAAAACTGGAATAATCATGATAGAGAACTCCACTAGCAAGAAACAATGAATGCCCAGGAAGAAAAGAACAGTTACATGATCTTTCTAGGTCAACAAGAGATATTTAGAAAGAAATACAGCTTATTAGCACTATTTTTTTCCCAACTAAAAAACAATTGTGTAACTTCATTCTCCTAGACACATGACATACTGAAGAATTCAGTATACTTTCTCTTCTTATAATTTCCCCTTCCTTCCTGACTTTATTCTAAAGAAGGAACACACAAAATCAGGAGAGATTTGGTGGTTACACCACTGAGTTATTTGCGCTCTGTGTCCGCTTGCACTCGTGTAACACAAGTGGACACGGAGATTTAATGTTCGTGCAAATGAGCAATGAACAGTAGATGACTCAGGATGGCACAGGCAGCACTGAGCCTTCGTGCACAGAGCTCTTGACATATCATCCAATATCCATTCCTGGGCCCCAGTCTGTGGTCTCTTCTTCCACTTTGAAAATGTTGATTTCCTTTTGTTGTAGATTTGTGGCTCTTGGTTTCTTCTGCTTCACCATCAGTCCAGGAGACAGCAAAGGATGTAAAAGGGAACAGAAAAGAATATCCAGGAGGGCTCAGGGTTTCTAGCTTTCAGAAAATGTATTTTAACCCCCCCCAGGCTGCACAGACATTGGCCTATTTCCTCTGAGGCTGATTCAGGGACTCTGATCAGAGCCATATTCCACCARAAAGGGCAGAAGGCAGAGCCCAGAGGCACCACGACAGCAGAAACCCCAACATTGCAGCTCTCATGGACTCCAAGGGGATGTAAAAGGGGTCTCCACTCCTGAAAAACCTCATTCTACATCACAAAAGGCAGGTCAGAGATCTGAGCGTGACTACATCAAAGTCTTGGTAGGAATACAGCTGGGACACCCAATTYTCCCTGACTCCAACTTTTGGAAAGTCCAGCTCAGTCTATTATTTTATAGATCTTCCCTGAATATACCCAGATAAACAATCAAACACTACAGAAATGTCTCACTTTGATGTATTTATACCCACACACCCACACTACACAGAGCGTGAACTTCTCTTGGTGGAGTAGAACCATTTAAAAGCAAGTAGGATATTCCAAGGTGGAGAACAAATTCTTTGAATGCAGAAGAAAATTAGTATCATCCAAAAAAACAGACTATGATAATCACACCTCTGTCTTTTCAGGGCAAACGGGATTTTTCAGAAACCCCAGTAGATCTGTTGTTTCAATCAAAAGAAGCTGATCAAGCCAGATTTAAACACCGTATCCCCAAACAGCCCATAAATCAAGAAAAAAGGAAAATTATTTTCATCTGTCATGGAAGGATGTGAGAAAAGCTCACAGACCTTACTTATTCATTTTGAAGGACTCCTCACATTGTAGTGCCTGAGAAAGGGGGGAGAAACCCAAACTCTGTTTGCCAAAACCCTTTTCAGCATCCATGCTACTCAGCATCAGTATTACAAGACTAATTCTGGGAAWACTTGCATGGGATGTGAGCAGTTTWTCCCAAATAAACTTGAGGACCTTTATCCCAAACTGTGGGTTTTAGTCATCCAAACTCATGTAAAATGAATTACACCCCTATTTAATACACTTTATTAACAAAACTGCCAGACTCTTCTAAAGAGCCCTCAGTGAGTGTCTGAACAGAAAATGGAGCAGCAACGTTCAATATTTGTCCTCCCAACTGTGATTTGCCTGCTACTTAGAATTCACTGACATATTTTTTCTGTGAGGGTGATGGAACACTGGAACAGGCTGCCCAGGGAGGTTGTGAAGTCTCCCTCTTTGGAGATATTTAAAAACCTTTAAAGACATTYTCCTGGGCTGCAGGTGGCCCTGCAGGGGGGTGGGACCAGATCTCAGCCACCCTGTGGTTCTCTGATTACCAGGATAAAATTATCTTCTGGAACAGCTTTAAAACACAGCTCAGCTACAACATTTTACACCGGTTTAAGAGGCAAAACCTTTTCCTCAATTTCATTTCCAGCAGCAGACGATGTTACATTTCCAAAGGGGATATGCAGAGATGTGTTTGATGAGTRGCATTTTTGTATTTTCCTTTTTTTATTGACCCAGCTGATGAACACAAAGCCTTTCAGGTAGTGGTAACTCAATATCTATGGATTGGCCTGGTGGCAGGCTGGTGTTTGTCAGTAAAAGTCCATTAAAAGCACGACACAAACAAGAGCCAGGAGCGCTGGRTAAAGGTGAGTGGATGCAATCCCCAGCAGGAAGTTCACCACATCCTCCCAGTCATTAGGGAGAGAAAGACAATTCCAGACACTGCATGAAGGTACTGCTACAAYGGATCTTGTCCCTGACAAGTGGTTTTAGAAGAAATTTTAGTCATCATGAAA